GTGTTAAGCCCAAGATGAATTTGAAGATCTTTCTCACTCATAGACTAAAGATGGTTTAATTATGCTAAGTATCGACGTTGGTCACTACGCTATCCAATACGTACGAGAAATGCTTGTACCTCTCATATGCTAGTTGCTTCGGATCCAGTTTATCATCGTGGGCAAGTGGAATGCTTGCATCGGGAGGTGTGCTTCGCACCAGTGACAAATACTGCTCGAACCATTGCACGACCAATACACCACAGCTGTGTCCATCACATTGGCGCCATCCAGTAAATGTTTTAGCTTGCATCTCCATGTGAGAGCTCATAAATTTCATGAAAACGCCACTTATAACCTCTTGCACTGCATCCAAAATCGATTTTTTGTGGAACGGATCATACTTCCACACAATTTTGCGCTCCATGTCAAAAATCATGCCGCACCAGTGAGGAAATTCAATGTCAACGTTCGTTGGACAGCAAACGATGCGATTTGAGCGCATCTCCGTGAAAATAGGATCCTTTGTGTCGATGTATTGATTCCTTCGCTCTACATCTGACAGCTGCAAATATAGTGGGTCAACAAACGTAACATATTTCGGATTTTGCCAGGTTTGTGGCTCTGCCTCTTTGACAACGCGTAGCGAAGCCAGATATACACACGAATCACTCAGCCATTGGTCACCTCCATATCCTGCTAAATTCAAGAACGAAATATTGTGGCCATTTGCACTAAAAACACTGTCGACGTTCATGAAAGGTATCATGTGCAGGATGCGTTGACGCTCCACTTCTTTGTGGTCGTCATCAATAACAATTTTCTCCACAAACTTAACTAGCTTCCGGGCCTTGGTCAGCTTCTTTGATACTTCGTGCCACCTTCGCATTCGCTCTATATCCACCAGACTAAACGTTCCAGCGCCAAGAATCGAAATCACTATCACTTGATGCCAGTTTTGTGTCATTGATTAGCTCTTCACGGATCTTCACGTTTGTAGCCGAGTCTATGCTTTTCATCACCAAAGGTTCTATCAAGATATTGGTTAATGAGTTTGCATGTTGATAAGTATTAGTGAAGATGACACCAATATCACCAAAATATTGAAAATAACACATTTACATACCTGGAAGCACGAATCGGATATTGCTCTCTACAGAACGGGAGTGATTACCCTTGATCACTAATGCTTTGGGACGTTTGAACACCGCACCATCGAACATGCGGCGGATACCGTCGAGAGCATCTCCAACAATCGCTATTGAAAGCTGTTGTGTCTTCACAACCTCGTCCAAAACTTCCAACGTAGCATCACCCACAGTGGCGACCGTGTCCACATACGCCAGTGTATCCGTAATCTCCTTGCTCCTCTTTGCCTTCTTAAAGCTTTCCTTTTGCTTTGGTCTTCCAGATGAACGACTAGCTGTATTAAGCTTTACTATGCTTTTGGCATCATCATCCAATATTTTGTGGGGATGCTTTTCTTCAGTTGTCTCGTCCAATTCAAGTTTTCGCTTCGCTGAAAGTGAAGACAGCTTCTTCGACGCCCGTTTTGTCTCTCGGATGTTTTGTTCTTCTTCGTCCAGCGGAACTTGAAGAGGTTTTTCGAGGCCCACCTTAACATCCTGTCCAGAAGTCGAGATACATGGTGGATTGGTACTGTTCTCACCCAGTTCGTCCAAATTTGTGGTAAAATCACCAATATTGGTGGTAATACCACCTATATTGGCACTATCGTCATCGGCTTCTCCTGCATCACCTGAGCTGAGCGTGCCTGAACCGTTCTTTTCTGCATCCAACATTGGCGGACCTTTGTCATCACGAACCATGTTATCTAAGGCCTTTAAATAGCGGTACCAAGTCGTAAGTCCTCGCTTCCCTTTATCAGTGACACCCTTGGCAATTCGTTGGCAAACGGCAAATATTGCTCGGTATTTCTGGTTGTGCGATTAAACTCGATTTGAGCCGTCGAAGGCAACATCACCCACAGACAAGCTCACAGCGTCTCCTTCTTCACATACAGGATCTTCACAATCACTGGAGACCTCAGCTATCGACCATCGCTCTGGGATTGTTTCAAATGGAATTTATGTGTTGCTATCTTTGCCAAGACTTGAAGTTCTTCGTCGTACTTGTGATTGTGACGGACGCCAACCCGTTTCGACTTGCTGTGATATTTATCCTCGGCAATCTGCTGTAGAAAAAGCAAATGGTCGATGCACTCATCCATGGGCATGTGGCGATGAAGAATACCTTTCGCAGCCCCCCCAACTTGCTTCCAATCGGTTGTTTGTGTTGTTGTCCAAGTGAGGGATGCATCCGCGCAGGAACGTACACCACAATGGCTTACAGCTTAACCAATTGGCTTCCAGATACTCCAAAAATTGTTGCTTACTCTTACAAAGAGCTTGAAGGGCTCGCATATAGCGATCGAATTCTCGTTCATCATCAGTCCGCACCATCATCGTAATCAAGTTCTTGGCATGTATCTTCTCAAATGCCGTAAACGCGTAGACGTTTTTGCTGATTTCGCGTTTGAGATAGTCAATGACGTGGAAATGACAAAGAATCACTGTAGCCCCCAGGTAGTTCTTCTGCTAGTACGCCAAGTTCAGTGAAATTCTTATCAATAATCACCACCTTGATATTGGCCCACGCTGGATTGTTCTGGTTAAAAAGTCCTTAAACGCACTCTTCATGTTAAGACTTTGTCTCTCCGGTCATCAAGGCATGCTGAACAAACGCCGCCGCTGCCCAAATGTAATCTCTCACCATGAAACTAAACAAACCGGA